CATAGTATTGCATGGGCAGGATACTATCAGGTTGCCCAGGCCTAGACAGGAGAACGATTAGGGTTCTCAACCAAAGCCTTTGGTTCAAAAACCTGACCGCAAGGCAGCGGGTTTGGCGGTGGGCTACAAGGAGTCCGTTTTAAGGAATAAGGCGCCACCCTCATTCCAACCCCCAACCTGGAGGACCAGGAGGCTGAGTTTGTCTGGTCTCTAACCATTGACCAATCTGGTATGAGTGACTCTGAAGGTGCAAAAGCACCACCCGGCATAGCTCAGTGGATCGCTGAGGCACACAAACCATCGCACCACGGTATGGTCCAGCCGTTTGTGTGCAGCCAGTTTGGTGATATTAACTGTTTTATTCACGTAGTACAAAACGCTGTTTGTTTGTGCTTTCCGCTTATGCTCCCATCGACTGCAGTTCTGATGCTGCCAAGGACATTCTATCACGAAGTGAATGCGCTACTACGCAATGCTACTATTTCAGATATTATAGTACCTGCAGGGAATATGAACATACAAGTAGGTCGTTTGAGCTCTTCAGAGGCTCAGCTGGGTGGTAATTATGGGATTAACTCCGAACGGACTGACACCGGGGAGCGTTTGCTGCAGCTGTTTGCGGAGCACCAGTTGTTTCTTAATAGCACTGCTTTTAGACACAGTGGGCGCCGAAGTGCCACTTGGCGTCCTCCTGTAGCTGGCCAGCGATGGACCCAAATTGACCACATTGCCATAACTTGCAGGTGGCGTGGTTCCATCCTGCATTGCTACTCGGACTGGGATACCTGCGTCGATTCTGATCATGCTTTGGCACGCTGTCATTTCTCCATGAACTTTACTGGGAGGCATACCAACCGTCTCCTCCGATTGGTAACTGAGAAATTGTCTTAGCCCTCGGTCAGGCAAGCCTATCAAGAAGCACTGCATACCGAACTTTCGCTCTCTTGTTCTAATGACACTGAGCTTCAGCGGAATAGGATCTCGGCCGCCATGCATGACGCACGAGTTCATGCTTGTGGTCATATCAATCGTCACTGCGCCAGTCACCGGATGTCCGAGAGGTCGGTGAATCTGTTGGAATTCAGAAGCAAACTCCAACCTAGCTCTGGCCACAATGTGATCAGACGGACTATTGGACGGGAACTAAAGCGGAGTCTGTTGACAAGGAAGCCTGGTGGACCAGTAGGGCTCAACAAATGGAAGAAGCAGGAGCAGTAGGCAATTATCGCAAGCTCTTCCTGCTGATCCGCACCACCAGTCCCAGGAAACCAGGCGTCAGTGAGACAATCAGAGACAGCGCGGGTGCGCCACATGGCTCGTTGGACAGAACACTTTCAAGATCAGTTCAGCTGGCCCATGCTCTCGGACCTCATTTTACTCAGGTGGTGCAGGACGAGCCAATGGCCACTTAGTTTAGTAGAGGCTCCGTCGAAGACTGAAGTCCGAAACGCGATCACAGCCCTGAATCGTTTTCGTGCTGCTGGCCCGGATTCCATCGCACCTGCCCTATTTAATGATGGAGGTGAGGTCCTCTGCAAAGCACTGCCCTCCCTGTTCAAACATCTGGTAGGAAGAGAATGTCCCGGCTAACTGGAGCGAATCGATTATAGGGCACAGACTTTGCTAACTACAGGGGTATTAGTCTAACGCCAGTTGTGACAAAATAACTGACTTCGATTCTTGTTCGTCCCTTCACTGCGGAACGAGAATCACGGATTAAGGAAGAGCAGGGCAAACTTCCGTCCAGGATATGGTTGTATTGACCACACATTTAATCTGGCGACTGGTGCTAGGGCAGCACCACGCATGTCGCAGACCGACAATAGCTGTATTCCTCGACTTCCTTCAATTAAGTAACTCGATGCATTATGTTCGAAACTAGTTGCGCGGAAAGGTGTTCCCACGAAATATGTGAACATCCTACTTGCTCTATACTCAAATTACTACACGCCGCGTCAGGATCTACGG